CCTTCCCTCCCTCCCCTCCCCATCTCTCTCCCTGCTCCGCCCCTGTCTCTTGCCTGCTGCCTGTGGATCAGCATGTAAAGCTCTCAGCTACTGATCTAGTGCCATGCCTGTCTGCTTCCAGCCATGATGGTCATGGACTAACCCTCTGAAGCTGTAAGCAAGCCCCCAATTAAATGCTTTCTTTTATAAGAGTTGCTTTAGTCGTGGTGTTTCTTCACAGCAATAGAACAACCACTAAGTCAACCACCAAAGGCAGAGGTATATCTTATCTATCAGCACAGGGATGGTTCAGCCAGAATGAAAAGTCACAAAGCTCCCAATCCTCTGGACTCAACCAAGAAGCACTTTTTGGGTAAGGTGCCAGCCAAATAAAAATCATGAAGTGCTTTGACACTGATGAGGCCTCAGTGTGCTGTAACAATCATCAGAACTCTATGGCACTGGGCTAAGGAGAAAGCTCACTGTGGAAAGCACTTCTGGACAAGCACAAAGGACTGATTTCAAATTTCCGGCACCTGTGTAAAGAGTCAGCCAGCACTGTGGGGTGAGGAGTAGAGACAGGAGGATCACTGAGACCTGACAGCTAGTAGCCTAGCTCTAGATCCAGAGACCCTATCTCCAGGGATTATGATGGAGAGGGATAGAGCAGGGCACCTAATGTCCTCTCTTGGCCTCCAAGCACTGTTTTTCATACTCACACACATAAATATATACCACATATACACATTGGCACTTTTTCTAAGTCCTAATTCACATATCTCTAATATCCCATTTTGCCTTTTAAAAAAATTACATTTTCTTTCTTTACTTTGTATGTGTACAAAAGCATGCACATATATGCCATGGAGCAGGCATGTAGAGTTCAGAAGCTAACTTTCAAGAGTTGCTTCTCTCCATGCAGATCTCAGAGAATAAACTCAGGCTGTCCAGCTTTCCTCCTGAGAATCTTCCAATCCCCTATTTTGCCTTCTACTAAATTAGAAGAAATGGAACTAGAAGTGTAGCTCAGTTGTGAAGCACCTGCCAAACATGGAATAGGTCCTGGTTTTGAGCCCAGCATCATGACCACCACCCTGCCTGTCCCCCCCCCAAAAAAAGAAAACTCAATGAAGAGTTTAACAGAACCCAAGAGGAGAATTAACTCCCTAGAGATAACATTTTAAAAATAACAACTGTAACTGAGAGGGCATAGTGGCTCATGCCTATTAATCCCAGCACTCAGGAGGCAGGGGAAGGTGAATTCCCTCGGGAGGCAGAGGAAGGTGAATCTCCAAGTTCAAGGCCAGCCTGGTCTATAGAGTTAGTTCCAGGACAGCAAGGACTACACAGAGAAAACCTGTCTCAAAAAAACAAAAATAAACAAAAAATTTATACACATAAAATAAAAACAAATAAATCTAAGAAAGGAAGGAAGGAAGGAAGGAAGGAAGGAAGGAAGGAAGGAAGGAAGGAAGGAAGGAAGGAAGGAAGGAAGGAAGGAAGGAAGGAAGGAAGGAAGGAAGGAAGGAAATCAAGAAGCTACTTGCCTACATCTCCACTTCAGCAGAATCCCCTCTCGGCAGCGCCCCAGTCTCCAGTTCTGAGACACCTTTACTCGGTCCTTTACTGGAATGCTGGTCATCCTAGGTCCAAACAGAACAAAGACCTCAATCACTATAACTCATTGCTAGTGAGAGAAGATTCTATGACTTACTGAGTCAGGCCTTGGGAACATCCAGAATAGAACCAAATATAGGTTAAAGGGATTATGGGATCAGAAGTAATAACTCCTATCTCCTCCATACTTGCTGGTCAAGAAATCCAAGCAGAAAAGTCTATCCTTTAAACTACTACAAGTGTCTATGGTGATGTCAAAACAATCTAGTGAAAAATATGCAAAAAAGTGCTAGAGCCGATGAGACAGCTCCATGGGTAAAAAGCACTTGCCACAAAACCTTCTAACTTGAGTTTGATTCCTGTGGTAAAGGAAGAGAACGAACTCTCAAACATTGTCCTCTGACCTCCACGCGTCATGTATGCACCTGCCTACATTCATACTGTGAGAACATACACACACACACACACACACACACACACACACACACACACACACACACACAAGATAGTATATGAGCCTGACATGCTGCCTACTGCACTAAGAGGGTGACATAATAATAAATCTTTTTTTTTAAATTTTCAAGTACTGAAACTCCCAGATATCCATATGAAAAAGATGAAACCTGCCTTACTCCTACCTCACACCAAACAGGAAAAGATGATATATAATAAACCTAAACACAAAATCTAAAATGTAAAGCTATTAGAATAAACTTATAAACACATCTATTTGGGGAAAATGACACTTATCTATCTGGCAGAGGGGGGAGGCAAAGTTTTCTTAGGACACAGCAAAAACATAAAAGAAAAAAGCTAATAAATTAGACTTATCAAAATTAAAAACCATGCCATCAAAATGAAGAACATAACAAGTATGCAAATGAAGAAATATTTCTCTCTTCACGCTTAAGCTAGCCTTGATTCAGTCTCCCTCAGCCCCAAGGGGTGGGATTACAGGCAAGTACCCCCACACTTAGCCTCTATGTTCATACATCTTTAAAGGACCAATAAGAGTTTTCTATTTAATGATGGGAGAGAAAAAACGGCACAGCCATTGTAGCAAAAGGTCTGGCAGGGGGTTATTTTATGTTTTGATGAGTATGAGTGGTCTTGCCTGCCTGCCTGCCTGCATATATGTGTACCGTGTTCATATCTGGTACCTGAAAAGACCAAAGGGAACATGAAATCCCCAGAACTAGAGTTATGAACAGCTGTAAGCCATGTGGGGGCTGGGAACCAATGTTCAATGTACAATTCTTTTCCATGTTTTAAACTTCTCTTTTAAAAAGTGTTGACCGAGTAGTGGACGTCTGGATGAAGAGGGTAAGAGCAGTGAGAGATGGGGTGCACACCACCAGGAAGAGTGGCATAGTTTGGGGTGTGGAGACGGGGAAGAGGCCAAAGGCCTTTTGAGAGGACGTTTTTAGCCAGAATTTTGAAATCATGGGCAAGAATCTGAGAGTTCCATTTGAGGTGTCTATCTGTGTCTCCATGGCTTCAAATACTTGACCACACAAGGTACACTGCTTGGGACACACAGTGGAAACTACTAGATCTGCCTAGGAATTCACTGACCAAAGGAGACACACACATTTCTCTCTGTCTCTACTTACACCTTCATATACACCACCCATTACTAAAAGCCAGCAAACAAAAGTCTCTGTTTCCAGAGCCTAACCAACACACATTGAAAAGACAGCTTGGGCAAGCAGAAAGATGTCTAATCCATTTCAAGCTCTGGCCTTACTTATTTGTACAGAATAATCCTTCTGATCTTAAAGTCATGAATGTATAGGACTGAATGTTAAAAAACACAGAGATACACAGCATAGAAGGTTAACAGTATGAAAATGAGTCCTCCCAATCTTCATCAAGGGTCCCTCTTCCATTTGCCTTTCACTCAGCTCCCTCTAGATTAATATTTTATTTAATCATGAGATATTTGTGCTTTTATATATTTTCCCTATTCTTCTACAATATTTAAAAAAGAGAAAAAATGTCCCTTAAAGTCCTAGGCACTTGGACGCAGTGCAGCGGGACACACGGAGAGGGATAGCTCAGCAGTAGAATATATGTGCATTTGTAAGGCTCTGGGTTTAATCCTTAGTATAAAGGGAAAAATAAAAATAAATGATGCTGTTAACAAAACTGAACATGTACCGATAAAGCAAAAGCAAAAAACAAACAAACAAACAAACAAAAACAACCTAATTTAGATGGCCATTTCATACTACAATATAGTAAATTAAAAAAAAAAAAAAAAAAGGAAGTTGAGTTGGACATGATAACATAAGCCTATGATCTTAACACTCAAAAGGCTGAGGCAGGAGGATTTATTGTGAGTTCAAAGGTGCCCTGGATCATGTAGTGTGTTCCAGGTCAGTTGCACCTATATGCAAGATCTTGTCTCATCTCATCTCAAAAAAAAGGGGGGGGGGGGTACATTTAAGATAGTTTAGGCAGAAGAAAATGAAACATACTCACACTCCAAAGAAAAGCAGAAACAAAATGTATGAATTATAAAGTGTGTAAGTTGATTCTATTAATCTTGAAATGCTAACAGAGGTGGGAAAAAGAAATTCGAAGGTAAACAACAGAGTCAGGGAAATTAACATTGTAAACACAAATTTCTTTCATCTCTACAACTTTTAGGGAGCTGATGAAAATCTACCAAAACACCCATCTCTAGTATCCAGTTATCCATGTCCCACACAGCCTAGGAACAGTCACGTGGAATTAAAAAATGGGCTAAAGAGCTAAACAGAGAATTCACAAAACAAGAACTACAAATGGCTGAAAGACATTTAAAGAAATGCTCAACATCCTTAATCATCAGAGAAATGCAAATCAAAACGACTCTGAGAT